GCCCCAGCAGCAACAGACAGGCCTGACTGGACCACGCTTGCGCCGTGCCCCCCGAGGGCAGGCCCCGAACTGCATGCCAGTGGCTGTAGCCGGGCCGCGCATGCGCTGTGCGCCCTGGGGGGGGCCCGCTCCCCATGGGTGGGCCCGCACATGCACCGTGCCCGGGGCGCCAGAATACCTCGGGCTGGCCCTGTTCACGAGGCATAAGGGAGCGGTCAACAAAGGCTTCCCCTGTTGTCCAATCTGCGTCTTGTCTCGCGTGCTGTGCCGACGATCAGCTGAGCTGGCAGAGCGCGGCGGCCATGTTATTTTAATGAAGCTGAGGATATTTAAATCCCGGCTTCTTTGACTGTGTTGGGTAGCCTAATTTTCATGCCTCTGTCGGCAGAGACATGTAGTCTAGACATACCCTTAGAGACTCCCAATTGTGTCTTTTGTGCAAATCTAAGGTGATCTTTTTTTTCAGGCAATCCCTCATGCAGGTAAATGCACTAAAATTCCTTTCTGTTTCATACTCATAGCAATATCAAATTGCTTGTCTGTTGCACAAGAAAACAGAATAGTTTGGCTTCCACACATGTATTTTAATGTCAGCTTATGAATTTTTGCCACAAACATGCTCTCACACCCACATCTTATAGACTTATTTTACAAGTCTTTTTATGTATGGTATGGAGATCAGCAAACCCTAGCATTTGGCTGTGAAACTAGTTGGGAATATCACAGAGAAGTAGAACTTGAACTGCATTCCAGCAGCACAGAAAAAACACAGCTGGCAAAAGAAGACCAAGCTGTGTGTGGGTTTGTGAGGTAGTTATATGGCCCATTGTTTCTGATGCAATATTCCAGCTATCAAGCCAAGGACAGACAATTCGGAACATATCACTTTACTATGTACATATACTCAGGACTCAACAAACTATAGAATCTACTCACCCGTGGTGAGTAGATTTCAGCCATGCACCCCATTTGCCGGTGGCACGCACATGCGCAATGCGGCTCTTGCGCATGCGCAGTGTGGGGCTGACGAGCAGCTTTCGCCACCATTTGTCAAGCCCTGTATATACTGATACACAAAGAAACTGTTATAAGACTGTAAAGGACGCAAAATCAAATATTCCAAAGTTAGAAAATGACAGAATTAAGGTTACCTTTTCTGTTTGATTTACCCTCTCTTTTACCTATGCCATATGATACAGTCTTGAACTACATTGTTATATAGTACTTTTTCCATGGGCTCCCTGCCTCATTCAGTGCATAGGATGAGACCTACTCTTGGGATGACTAAGGGTGGTGCTCTACAATAGGCCATTGTCCTCAGGAAGCCTGCTTAATTTGTTATAGAAGTTGGAAGGTGTGCATTGGATGAGGCAGGGCATTGCAGGAAGAGAAAGGATAGGAAAGAGAAAGAAAACTTTCTGGAGTATAGGTCCCATCGATGGCTATTAGTTAAGATGGTTAGGGATTCAAGCCATGTTCTGGGTGTCCCTAAACCTCTGACTGCCAGAGGCTGATAATGGATGACAGGATGGATCACTCAATAATTGCCCTGTTCTGTTCATTCCCTCTGAATCACTTGGCACCAGGCACTGTCGGAAGTCACATACTGGGCTAGATGGACCATTGATCTGACCCAGTTTGGTCATGTTCTTCATTTGATAGTTAAGACAGTTGAACTCTGCCCTGGAAAAGTGATTTCTATCCATGCCTCAGAAATTCCATCATGTGGCATCATACCAACACTTTATATCGGTCATCAGAAGTGTTGGAACCTTTAGAGCTATAGCATAATCCTCTGCATGTGAGCTAATGTACTAATTGCAGGAGAAGGTTCTCATGGACCAGCACTCAGTGGAGATGAGACAGCTGCTTTGTCAGTGGCTTTCATGAGTACTAACTGCCAGATAAGAAATGGTCTAACTTTGGAATTGCTAAATGAGATGATGAATCCCCTTGTCCACATGCAGACTGTGTATGCAAGAACTCTAATGGAGCTCAGAGCAATCAGTCATGAAACCACTATTGATACATTAGAAAGGGAATATAAAGAGAAGTTGAAGAAACTGGTATCAATTCAGAAATGTTTTTAAATGGGGACTTTTTCAAAAGAGTTAATAATATTGCATACTTAATAATATTGCCATCAGCGAAAATCCTAGTAACTGTTAGATATTATCAACTCCAGCCAATTTAACACTAAAAATTACTGAAAATACCATATACTAATACACTACTATACCTCTGAGCAGTTCACCTGTGCATATAACGTGTGTGTGTTTGTGTATGTATTAGAACTGGTCTAAAAATAGGGGGCACATTTTTACATTTTCCCCAATTTTATTGAATTAGAAATGTCAAAATTTCTCTCTTCCCTCCAAAAAGTTGGCCAATACTGAAAGCACTGTGGATTCAAGAACTTAATAGGCTCCTATTAATTAATATCTTGGCCTTAACTGTTAAACATATCCCAATATGACTTTAATCAAGCCTTTGCTGCTAAGCCATATTAAAAGCAAGATAACAATAGGTTTATTCTTTTACCAAAAACTATTGCCAGGACAGAGTTTCACAAAATATCTCTTATGCTTTTAGAAAAATGACTTCCATCTACAGAAGGATCAGAAATCCCACTGCAATTATGGATAAGTCCATTTACTCTCAATACAAAGTACCTTTTTGCCTTTGAATGTCTCAAACCTATGTCAGTCCAAAGCAATTCCTGTTCATTTCCGTCAGCTTCACAGACTAAAAATTCAGATTGCCGGTGATGGCACTTGCAAACAAAGGTCTAAGGATCTGGGTGCTAAGAAGCAACATGAGTGTCAATGGCTGACACTATGGCTCCAGCATGGAGAAAGGAAGCTACATATCAGGTTACATCTGGAGGACACAATTTAAATACAAGTTAACTAGTTAGTGGCTGCAGATGCTTTATGCAAGGGCAAAAGCAGAGTTAGTCACATTCTTTCCCCCTAACTGTGAGCCAAAGTGGGCAGTATCCATGTTTCTGCAAGGTGCACATCTTCCCCCTGCCTGGCAGCTCCTGGACAATCATATGAAGTATGTAGATCATGTGCTTCATTTCCAAACATTGTGAAAATGTTCATGCATACTTAAGGGTCCTGGAGGTCATTATTGTAATCCGTGCTTTACATGTGGAGAAACTGAGGTACAGAATATATATCCAGCCTTACCATAAGCAAGCACAAGTCCAACAAAAGTGAATGGAAGATGAATGTGATTATATCAGCACTGAATTTACCTCACAAAGATGTGAAATGATTTGCTTAAGGTAGTGGAGTGAGACTGTGGCAGAAACTGGTAGAAAGGAGAACTCCTGGACCCTAACTCAGAACTGCTCAGCTTTCTGAACAGTCAGACAGGAATGGATATTTTTATGTAGCTTCATTAGTTAGGCCCAGATTTCCATGCCCTTATTGGATACCCTGAACAGTATCTTACTCCAGGAGTAATCTCAGTGAAGTCAAAGGAAAAACTTCCAGTGACCAATGGAGTTTAGCTCAGATCCTGAATGAAGCAAGCCTCAGTATTACCATGCTAATGATGAAGGGAAACAACTGCTCACATGGGAGAGAACCTTGCATTTATTATCTTATCAGACAATGAGGTAGGGTAACAAGACCACAACTTCAAAGTGTGCCTGAAAGGAGCACAATGAATTCAGAATACAATTAACGATGTAGGGCTTGCTCCACAATGCTTTCATCTTCCACCTTGTGTGGGAGAGTCACCTTTAATTTATCAGTTTCTTCCATTGCTTGGCAGATCGTTTCATAAGCATTACTGTTTCCCGACCAACAGCGTCTAGCCACCTGTCAGATCACAAATGTGAAAATAAATAGATGTAAAAATGCAACTGTATCTCCCCAATTCCTCACTCCCCACCCCCCAACATTTAATTATAATATCTATGTAATTGATGCTATTTCTCAGTTTCTTCGCCGATATAAAAAATCATTTGTGAAATACTTGCTCTTTCATCCTAAGCAATTTTTAAAAAGTTTTTGGATGATCTTGATGCATTTTATTCCAAATAAAAATTATAGGCTGATAGCACTGGCTAGAGCAAGACACATTGTAAACAGATGCTTTGCAAAAGTCCATCAGAAGGAAAAATTATTGCATCTTAATTCAGCTCTGCAAAACTAGCTGCTGTTTCAGACCTAAGTCTGTCTGAAACAATCACTGATTTTATAATGAGGCAAATAGTTGCCTGGTAGGATGCTGAGATCACTGCACATATTTTTCAAATTGAACCCTTAGAAAGATTTGAGACCAAGGGGCCATATGGGCTTAGCTCTGCTGACATCAATGAAGCTGTAGTCAATTTACACCAGCAAAGAATTCAGCCCACAGTCTATAGAACTGGAAGGTTAAGAATGTCGATGGCAGAGTTATGCCCAAACCATAGTGATAGATCAAACCTCCTCCTGATACTTTAAAATAAATGCTAAGATTCAAAGTCATCTTTATTTGTAAAATAGATCTGAGGAAAAATGGCAGATACAAACATGGAGAAGGTCAGAATTAGCTCTGAACTTCTTGGTTTAGACTCATCATGAATTTATTCATGCTATATAGATTCTCAATTATTAATGTATTATGTCATGTATCTGTTGTGCCATTTAACACAAACATCACAGCCAGATCCTGAGCTGCTTACTCAGTCTTGATGCAGGCTCAACACAATGGGCCTAGAAATATGATTTTATTATTCATTACAAAGCGGGGGTTGAAGTATTTGGTCAGGCTCAAAGTCATTACAGTAGGCAAATGTTTAAAGTCCCAGTTCAGCAAAGTACATAAGCATGTGATCAATTTAGGATGAATACATTTTGAGAATTATAGAACTAAAATATCTATTAGGTCAGGGATGGCCAACCCATTACAGACAAAGAACCAAAATAGTGGTGGATACAGTGCAAAGAGCCGAGGGAAAGAAGTTGTTGAGCAAAAAACATAAAAACAAAACAAAAAAGTGCTGCCCCTTTAAGAGCCGTGTGGGGCCCAAGTAGGCCCTGCCCAGACAAGGAAAAAGGGTCAGAGCAGGAGACCATGAGAAGAGCCACAGGTGTGAGAGCCGCATTTTTTTCTTTGAAGAGACACATGCCGCTTGCGAGCTGCGGGTTGGCCACCCCTGTATTAGGTCAACTAGTCCATATCCATGCACATGTAGGATTATTCCTGGTAGTATATCTTCTAGTGTATTCTCCAATTTCTTTCCATTTGTGGCTGTAGGAATATAGATAATATTCTAATATTGTCTTTTTTTAAACACTGTGTTGAGAAGTTGGGCTATTAGATGCAATAAATCACATTGCAAGTGTATCTTCTACCAGACTTTTGTTTTATAGGCTGTCTCTGATAAATTATGCTTGTTAAGCATCTGCCACTATTACTCAAGTCTAGAGATTAATTTAATCTTCTTCGGTCTTCCTCAATGATTTATCTATTCTATCAGATCTGGTACAGGGAATGCATATGGATAGTTCCTCCCACTGTTTTTTTTCTACCACGTTCTCTGGAGAGAACTCGTTTCTGATCTAATGCAAGGAAGGCAACTGAATCCATCAACTTCTTTTCAGAAATAAAACAAAAACAGAACACACCAGAATTGGCAAGCAATAGCCTCAGTTTGTCTGAGACATATCAAGTCATCATGGATAGGCTGTCTTCTTAAAATACAATACATTTTGTCCTTTATAATTTTCTGCATATAATTATGCCACTGTGGGACACTATATCTACAGAAATTGAACCTCAGACTTCTGGATCCAAGAAGCATGAGCTGCTTGATCTAAATTACTACCTCCAGTAGCACAAGCATGGGAGCAAAGTCATAAACCCATACTGGTCTTGGCATTAAAGGAGGGCAAACACTCTGTGTTAGTATGTGTTACACTTTCCCTCAGGCCAGGGAAATGGCCCCAGCACGTGGCAGTTCAAACAAATAAACTACTTTGAGTTTGCACATAATTGGCACTTAGTACTAAACTCTAGACTGAGGGACATGTGGCATGTACCCATGAATATAAGTGGCCACAAGTACCTCATGCAAAGGTAACTTGAGATTGCTTTTTTCCCCACTGACAATATTGAAAAAACTCTCATTGATGTAAATTGGAGACAAACAGGATTTTTATGCATTGGGAATTCAGTGGGAATTGAGGGTGCTTTGATCTTCTCGGGAGAAGGTCTTGAAATCCCAACATTTATTGGGTCTCTTTTTTAGGGTATGACTCCAAAGCCCATTGACTTTGACTAAAGTTGATAGAAAGACTCCCACTGACTTTTCTGCCTGTTTCACGGTACAGCTTGCATGTTCCTGGGTCACCAACATTTTTATGTTTTGAAGAAGGAAAGCAATCTTTCGAGTCAAAACGAAAGGCAGATTTTGCTTACTCCATTGGAAACATCCCAGCTGAGCATCATTTTAGCTTGTTCCTCAGCCTCTTCTGATCCATCCAGAACAAGGCCAAATCCTCCATTTATCACTTCACCCCTTTAAAATACAAGAATTTGCATTTTTAAAGTACATCTTTTTTTAAAAAATATATAAACCAATCCTATAAAGCATCACTCAAGTCAGATGCACTGGGGGAAAGGGAAAATCTAAATTAGGCCTGGATAAAATTGCTGAAATTGAATACAGGATGCAGTCAGTGAGTCTTTGTACTTAAAAGATAGAAAGCTAGCAGTACAAGGAACCAAAGTCCTAGTATAGAAACGTTAGGAAGCCCATTTTATACTTTCCCACACTAGCAGCCAGCAAACCCATTTCTGCCTAAGCCTCCTGTATGTCTCCTGAGAACAGTATGTTCCACATAGCAATTACTTAAAAAAAACCCACAACAACCTAAATACAGAAATGCCAGCACCCTTGATGATTAAAGAGCTAAAGTCACAGAGTTCTTTAAAGATTATGCCTTTCATGTGTGCTACATTCAGGTCTAGCATTCAGATAAGCAAAGTGATGGGGGAGTCATTTTGGTATCTAGACAGACAGACCAACCTATTCATACTCCGATAATCAGAGCCTCACAGCTAAATACAAAATGAAACAGATAATTTAGCATAAAGCATTAAAATATATTTCAAGGGACCATTCAAGGTGAAGTGGCCTGTTAACAGCTCTCCAATCATATGGAGGAAAGGACTGAATAAAGGCACTGGATTTATGGTCTATTACCACAATCTATAACCTACTACTACTCCCCACAGCTGCTTCCTTCACCCTCTCCCCAGGGACCTTGTGCCTGTCTTTGCTGTGACTGAAGGGGTGTTGACGGGCCACTTCACTTTGAATGGCCCCTTGAAATATGTTTTAACCACTTATGCTAAGCAATATGCTCCACTTTGTATTTAGCTGTGACACTCTGAGTACCTTTCCCAGAACTGAAGAAGAGCTCTGTGAAGCTTAAAAACTTTCCCTCTCACCAACGGAATGGTCCAACTTTCTCTGTGGTCCACTGAATGTGACTGATACTTTTTAGCTAGAATTCCAAATTCTGCTCTCAATTAAACCTATTTAAAACCAGAGTACCCTTGTTAATTTCAATAGTTACTCCAGATCAGCACCTAATTTAATATCAGATCAGCCCACTATCAATATAGTACAATAAGAAAATTAGATCTCTAGTTGTATTTTTTTTCCAAAGAGAATACTCTACACTTACAGAAATGTTCTTTTCAGTGGCAAAATATTCCCTCCAAGCACAACTCAAAGACTATTCTCTGAAGCAGGGATATAAAGGGGCAGATACCCCATCTCACTAAATATACTACTCAATATAGTAGAATAGCAGAGTTACACACAGCTTGGGAAGAGGTTGTTCATAACTCTGAAATATTTGTTATTCTGAACAAAATGTTATAGGCGTTCTTTCAAAAATGTACAACTGAAATTGACATAACAGAGCTTTGAAACTGTACTAGGCAGAAGAAAAATGCTGCTGTCCCTTCATTTTTTAGTCGTTTACATCTAACACAGGACTGTACTGTATTTGTTTATTTTGATCTCTGCTGGCTGCCTGATTGCATACTTCTAGTTTGAAGTGAGGTTTGTGGTGGATTGGTCAGTTCATAACTCTGAGGTTCTACTGTAAATTCAGAGCAAATCCACTGCTTTCTATGAAATTACACTAACATACATCCAGAACAACAGATTAGAATCAGGCCCACCATCTGAAATGACACCAATAAATTAAACCCCAAACAAGTCATGTTTGTTACGATGGCTTTTCTAACAAAGCCTCTCACTTTTAAAACAGAGTACTTTGCCTTCATTAGCATTAGGTAATATTTTCAAGTAATTAAAGAAACATGTGGCATTTTGACCTAAACTACCTCCTATAATTTCCAGATGCCTCCTCCTAAGGTGATCAAAGAAAACAGGCCCCTTTCACAATCAAGATGTCACACTGTCAACTGTGTAGTTCAGTGCTTAAATTACCTCTGCTTTTTTGTTACTACAGATTACATAGACCTCTTGCTAATATCTATTCTTGTTCAAATGAACAGGCCTCAAGAAATCAATGACATTCAATTGCTATAATTATGGCTAAGCTGGAGTTATTCTGTACCTGCACCAACAGTGCATATGATGCAGACTCAACTAAATAAATACTAATGCTGGTTTTCTGTTGTGTTAGGTTATAACTCAGTAAATCAAAATAGAGGAAAGATGTTTCTTTAGCAGGAAAAGGAAGAAGCATAAGATTTGTTGACAATTCTGGTGAAAACAAAACATCTATTGAGGCGGCTGGCTGCCAAATTAAATTGCGATCCTCATTTCTGAATGTTCTAAACAGCAACATTCCAATGTCAAGTTGATTTCTTTCTAACATATGTATATACATACATTCCTTTATCAGTTATCAGGGAAGTGAAAGAGGAAAAATAAATCACACACATGAAAAGCCTACATCAACTGAGATCAAGGAGATGAGGTGGCTACTTTTCACCATGCACAAGGAGATTTCTGTATTGCAGGGCCAATTGATTCTCACATCCTCAGTGGTCTTTACAATGCAACACAGGTTCTTAGTTGCTGAAGTGCAAGTTTGCTGGATAAAAACTAAGGCCCAAAGAGCATCTGTATCTGGAGGGCAAAGAAATCAGAGAGATTTGTTGTAATGGTTGGGGACTGTTTCTTTTTTAGCTTCATAATATTCCTCCTTTCCTCCAAAAACGCAAATGCAAGGAGGATGCAGCTCCTAGATGGGGTAGTAGTCCATTAAACAACAGAATCACTGCGGTACCAAGGCTTTTAGAAATCTCTCTAGACAGTAGCATGGCATTGTTAGGACCTTTAAATCCAGGGGCGCCGACAGGCTTGCTGGCCCCTGGGAAAGGTGGAAGTGGGGCCCAGCTCTGCACTCCTGGAAGGGATGGGAACGCTGGTTGAAGGGGTGGGGCAGAGAGGGATCTCTCCCAACTGCCATGCCAGCCCTCAGGCCAACCGAGAGTGCCACATAGTGTTCTGGCACTGATTTGCTAATTTTCTGATTAATTTTGTGAGCACCATTTTGTATTCCACTCTGACACAGATTCAGTTACTCCAGATTTACAGTAGTGTAACCTCCCAATTTGGCCCAGGCTTTTCTATATTCCCAAATATAGAAAAGCTCCACTATGGGTTATATGGGAGTCTGTCCCTCGAGCCGTTCCAGCACTTTTGCTGCACAGAAAAAAATGGCACCCTCCAAATATTGAGAGAAGTTACAAAGGTGGAGAGATTTCCAAAGTGTGTTCTGGTAGTAACCAGCAGTTGGCCATTCAGGACCATCCCGTCCCTGTTAAGATTTAGAAGTTTTTTTGTTTAGTTTTGTTTTGTTATTTTGCCAAAGATATCAAAACTTACAATACTTCTACAAGATAGGAAAGTAATCCCCCCCCCCCCCATTTTGAGTGTAAAGCCCCTCTAACAACATGAAACTTACATATAAAAATGAAAGGGGTATAGGGCATTTAGTTAGATGCCAAAGGCGTCGTTTGCCAAAAAAAAAAAGATGTGGGAATACTGAACTACATGGTCATTTCTATAACTTGAAATTTGAACATTCATAATCAATGCATAGAATAAACTATTCCTAAATATATCAATCATATACATTTAAATAAGAAATGCACTCATGGGCATCATGATCCTTTGGCAGCTTTGCCAGATGACGACAAAAAAGGCTAAATTTAGCATGGAAATGACTCATTACAAATTATTGACTCAGATCTAGTTGCTTTCCATCTCTACAGCTTATGGTTTAAATTATCAAAGCATTTTAGGGAATTTAGAAACATATCCTGGACCACAATAGAACTTTAATATAATGATTAGAAGTATCATGTTTAAGTTTGCAATTTATGTATCAACTATCATGCTGCCAGTCACCATTTCTGACTAGTAGAAAGGTAGGGCCTCTGGGCCATTTGGTAAAGATGCATCATGCAGGCTGTGCATGTCTGTAATCTGATCTCAAGACAAAATGATACTTGTGATTCATTATGATCACTCTATTGCATTTAGAAATAGTTAAATATAAGCTTTTTATAATTAGAAGTTTTAGTACTAGAAGAATATAGATGCAAGTTTTTGTGTTAGATGTTTGAAATAATTATGAGTGAATGAGGAATGAGAGTGTTTAAGGAAAGATAAGTCTGAAGGCTGTTTAGCATTCAGATGGTCAAAGGAGAACCAGAAACTCTGGGGTGCTACAAAACTATCAAAAGGACCCATTGTGTAAGAAGACCAGTTCAGGGCAGATGGATGACCTTGAAGCCAGGAACAAGCACCCCCAAATTTAAAGCATTATACATCTCATCAAAACCGGAGCCAGACGACCCCTGGAAGGGAAGCACTAACACGCTGATATCAGATGACAGGGAGGACAACCTTCACATAAACAGATGTCACAGATAACTGATTGTGATGCAAAATAACTGATTAAAAACCTGTCAAGGCAAAATGCATAGATCTCAATGGAAGAAAACTGCTATTAAGAACGGGGTGTCTTGCATGATTCTTTGGGTCTGCGTCCTGCTAAGATTGCAGTGACAGTCTGGACTGAGAGAAGCCCAGATCTTCCCTCGCATTCACTTAGCTGGCCACTAGATTGACATGAGCAACAGACTGGTAACTATAACATCAATGAGATGGGGTGTGTGTGTGATGTTACATTATCAATAAATGCAGTGTTTTGCCGTATCCCCCTGCAAAAGATCCCATGTACTTCTTTCAGGTATAACATCCTCCATTAAAATTAATGGACATAATGGATGAAATCCTGACCCCATTGAAGTCAATGGCAAAACTCGAATGGACTTCAACAAGGCCAGGATTTCACCCTGTGTATCTGACTGTATCCCACAATTATGGCCCTGATTGTGATCTCACCCAGGTGTTAGTCCATTGAAATCACTAGAGTTAGAATAATGCAGACAGAATGAGATGATCAACCAGGATGGAAGGTGGTTTTGGTTCCGATTAACAAGGCTACATAATAGTCA